TCTTTCTTTCTTTCTTTCTTTCTTTCTTTCTTTCTTTCTTTCTTTCTGTCTCTTCTCAGTTTCCTTCCCAAGTTTCTTCCCTCTGACTGGTCCTCCAATGACCTAGCTGCATAAAGGACAGTATACAATAAATCATTTGGAATCTGCACATCTCTCGGCCCTGTGTGATGCTGATGGACCCTGAACCCTGCACAGCATACAGAACAGGACTCTGTGGTGTCTTGTGCTGTCTAGTTAGTCAATTGACAGCAAGTTATTAACAATTTGCCTCCACGCAAATGAAGGCATATATATATATATATATATATATATATATATATATATATATATATACCAGAATTTCTGGGTGTGTGATCTAGGCACTAGCATTTTGAAATTTTCCTTGATTTCATTTGGCATCCATTGTGCACTGACCTACAAAAAACTTTGCCCTTGTTAGAACAATTTGCGCAGTGGAATTTTGGTAATAAATAAGTAGATGAACAACCCATATCTTTAAAAAAAAGTATTGTCTTTTGACATGGAGGACTTTTGCATATAATTTTGTATATTACTTATCTTTAAAGATAATAGAGAAAATATAAACAGAATTGTAACCCCATGAGTCAATAATGATTACAAAGTTTTAGGACTTATCACCCTTTTGCATTTTATTCTCTTTTCATCTTTGTCTCGCCATTTCTTCCACCTGCATACCACCATTAATCACTGCTCTGCTATTTCATTAACGTGACTTCCAGGAAAGCTAAAATAAATGTGTCTGCATTATATTTTAACCAAAGACCATATTATAGTCTCCATTCTCTTTTACTCCCATGGGTGCTTTTTTCTCATTACACGTTATCCTTCTGTGTGAAGGTTAGGTTAACCTCATTAGAGGTCCTAATTAACTTAATTTTAGATCATTCTGGCCTTCTAACTTTGCTTGACAGTCTCTCCTATCCATCATTCATCAGCATACCATTCATAAGGTAGTGTAGAAGTCAGATCTTCTCAGAGGAGTAGTAAATAGCCAACCGAAATGAGGATTTCTCATGATTTCAACTTTTCCAAAGTGCACACACACACACACACACACACACACACACACACACACACACACACACACGTTCTATAAATGCAACTGAAGATCGAGACTGCAGGCCTCACATTGTGATTGCTTACATTGGATGGTAGTGAACACCTTCAGTGGTACTTTGTCCAGTCTGACTTGTGGGAAGAACCTAAGGGGAGGTAGAAATTAGGTTTGTATTTGAGCCTTCTCTATATTTGAAGATGGACCACTTGGTATAGCAGCAAGTCCAGAGTATTCTCCTTTCGTTTGGATAAGAACCATGGAGGTGATGATTATTTCTTGCTTTGTGCTATAAGAACTAAGAATTTTGGCTACTTCACTCCATATATTTCTCATGACAATGATATGTTTTATTATGAAATGCTAGTACAATATCTTATGTTAAAGTAGTATATAAATTGATATATATATGCATCAGATATATTACATATTATTATCTATTATATGTGTATGTTGTATATTATTATCTCCCATTACAAAAGCAAAACAGACTGAAAGTTATATGATCATTTGGCCAATAAATGGCCATGTTGAGATTAAAGCTATCTTAACATTGAAGACTATGCTCTGGCCCGATAATATTTTTAATCATGAGCAAAGACCTTCATTTTTCTGGTCTATTTTTCATGTTTGTAAAATAAACTTCAAAATTATTTCTAGTGCTAAAAGTTTGCAATCTGTTTCCTGTCAATAGAACAAATATGACAGTCTAAGACCTTGGTATACTACCATCAAAAAAAGTAACGTATAGTTTGTTAATACCAAAAATCAAGGTTTATTATAAACACAAGTACTGTACGACTTGAATTTAGTAGAAAATACTTTGGGTAATCTTACAGTAATTCCCAAAGAACTTAGTCTGAATGAACAGCCAAAGCTTATAGTGGCTTCTTTATTAACCAGTGTAATACAACATATTTACAGCATACAGAGGGGAATCCCACATCAGATCACTGTTAGCTGGGTTTGGATGGTCATTCCTCATTCACAACCCACAGGACTGAATGCAGATGTCATTTGAAAATGGAATGCTAGAATATTGTCCTCTTTAGATTTGTAGACTTGTAAGAACCCTCAGAATGTTAAAGATCATTGAGCCAAATCTACTAAAAGATGTTTCTGCAGCCAAGTTTTACCTCATGACAGGGCGTGAGCCTAGTGAGACTTAATCTTGAATGGCAACTCTGCTTGCTTTTTTTTTTTTGACTTGAACAGGGTACCACGCTACTATTGTTAGAGTAGACTATTCTAAATCACAAGATAGAATCAAGAGGAGCATTGGAAAGTCTTGCAAAGATGAAATGATTAAAAGCTGACACAGTTTCTGGTTATATTTTCTTGGCTTAGCAATGCCTGCCGCTGTTTGCATTCATCATCACTACTCCCACAGCGTCTCTGTTACCATGGTCACCACTGGATCAACTATTGCCACCATCGTTACAGCCACCATCATAACCACCACCACTCTTGTCACTATCACGACTACCATCATGACTGTCATCTCCACCGCCATCATTATTTCTATCACCTATCATCATCACTGTCATCACTACGACCACCAACATCCTGGTTTCCCTAACACAGTAATTCTTGTTAAGTAAGGCACCCTGCTGAGGTGTTAAATGAGAATGCTATTTTTTAACAAGGAATTTTTTTAGATGCCTTTTGTTTTTGTTTT